CTAGGGAGCCGCCGGTTCACCTTCCAGTGACCAGCGTCAACCAAATTTTATTTTTGTTACTTTCGTTTCCTGCTTTTGACATTTTTTGTGTGGATCTTTGCCTCAATCTCTCCCACGAAGATGATTTCTCCATTCTCTGGTTTGTCTTCTCAGATTTGGAGACTCTCTTTGTCTTGGTGTCAAAGGGGTTGATGTCTTTTCACTTCGACGGTTCTTCATCTCTTCATTCCTTCTGTCTACCTTCTTGTTTTCCACATTATATCGTGAGATCCAGTGATGTGCAGCCTCATCGGCTCGGATTCGGGGTGGATTCTTGAAGACTTGGACGCCATGCTCGTGCTCTTGTAGTTTGCCTCGTCTTTGTTGTTCTCCGGTGACGCTTTGTAGCCGTTTTCCAACATGAGCGACGTTCAAAAGCTGAAATCAAGGTTTCAATGGCTATGTTTGGTCCGGCTTTTAAAAGTGCTTTTCGGGTTCAAAAGCTGAAACCGGGTCAAACACCTCCAAAAGCTCGGCTTTTGAAAAGCCGAAAAGCGCTTTTGTATAACATAAAAGCAGAAACTCCGATTTGGAGCTTCCGCGAAAAGCTGTTTTGAAAATACAAGATTATCATTACCATATTTTAATTTTATTTCAGAAAATATAATTTTCTTTCATTTATATCATTTTAAAAATAAAATAAATTGTAAAAATCATATTATTTAATATAAAAGAAGTCTAATAAGATCCATTTTGACTATATTTTACTGTTTAAAATTATTATTCATAGTTTATATTATAAGCCCTTTATAGTCATTTTACATAACATCTCATATTAAAAAGCACTTATAATAATTTCCAGCCAAAAAAACATTTTTTTTTTTTGAAAAGTACTTCTCTAAAAGTTTAAGTCAGAAACTGCTTCTGCAAAAGCTATAGCAATCTACACATATTATAATACACCGAAGGAAAAAACGGGAGCCCCATTTCAAATTTCCTGCAACGAGAGTGAAAGTAGAAAGGATATTTTGGTCTTCACAATTACTTTTTTTTATTCATTAAAAAGACATGTACTAGGATTCGAACCTTGATCATTTTAAAGAAAAACAAGGATCATAACCAATCACACTAAGTACATTTGTTGTATTTATTTAAATTAAAAACATATAATAGCAGGGAGAAAAAACTCTTCCCCCATTTCAAATTCCCTGCTCCATGAGCGTTTGTAGGAAGAGTAGAATAGGTAATGTCAATTCTTTTCTCTTTCCTCTGTGGAACGGGCCAACTTACCGTACACATGCGGGTTTAAACGGGTCCAGAAGTGTCAATTTTTTTCTTTAAGCTCTTTTATTTCTCCGTGGTGATAAAATATATATGAAAAGGCAAAAACAATACTCCTTTTTATTGCTAAAAATAAAAAATTTAACAATAAACTAATGCATGGTATCTAATGGGCTAACCGCTAACCATAAAATAAAAGAGTTGGATGGGTCTGACCTACACGAGATTTGGCCATCAAGAAAAACAAATGAACATCATTGGTTTGCCATTCTAAAAACGTTTGTAGGAAGGGTAGAATAGGGAGTGTTAATTTTTTTCTCTTTCCTCTGTGGAACTGGCCAACTTATCGTACACATGCGGATTTAAACTGGTCCAGAAGTGTCAATTTTTTTCTTTAAGCTCTTTTATTTCTCCATGGTGATAAAATATATATGAAAAGGCAAAAACAATACTCCTTTTTATTGCTAAAAATAAAAAATTTAACAATAAACTAATGCATGGTATCTTATAGGTTAACCGCTAACCATAAAATAAAAGAGTTGAATGGGCCTGACCTACACGGGATTTGGCCATCAAGTAAAACAAATGAACATAATTGGTTTGCCATTCTAAAAGCGTTTGTAGGAAGGGTAGAATAGAGAGTGTCAATTTTTTTTCTCTTTCCTCTATGGAACGGGCCAACTTACTGTACACATGCGGATTTAAACGGGTACAGGAGTGTCAATTTTTTTCTTTATGCTCTTTTATTTCTCCGTGGTGATAAAATATATATATGAAAAGGCAAAAACAATACTCCTTTTTATTTCTAAAAATAAAAAAATTTACGCATGGTATCTAATGTGCTAACCGCTAACCGTAAAATAAAAGAGTTGAATGGGCCTGACCTACACGGGATTTGGCCATCAAGTAAAACAAATGAACATCATTGGTTTTCCATTCTAAAACAAGCTATTTTCTCTCCCATAAAATATATTATGCTATTATTTTATATCTTAGTGGCTAAAATATAATGTAATTTAAAGTTATTCAATGGTTCAACCTCGACCAACCCAATTAGTCCAATTTTTATAATTTCAAATATATATTATATAATTATTTGATATCATAATGATCAAATTATAGTGTATTTTACAGGGAATCGTTTGGTATTTGTTAGTAAAAAACTAAACAGAACGATCTATTTGGTTATTCTAAACATTAAAACGATACATTTTCAGTTCCTTTTGAATTTCTATGGTTTTATTTCCGAATAAGTGATGTGCAAATGACGAATTACAGTCATCTCTTTTCTTTCACTATTTTTTATTTTCAAATAGGATGTTTAAAATTAAATAATAATTAGAATTTGGCATGGGTCGGTCAAACATGATGAATTTCAAGTTTTGGCCCGTTTTGATCAAGTCTAATTTATAATCACAAGGTTCCCTGATACTCGATAAAAATCTCAATCCAAACCAGTTTGGCAGGTGAGTCCGTGTTTACCACCATTTTCTAGGGATACGACAACGGCGGTTCCTAACCCAAATCGTGTTGCTCGTTCTTGATTTTCTTAGATTTTATCATTGTCTGACAAAAACCAGAAAGCACAATGACGACAAGATGAAAGTTTTGTAAAGCAAATTAATCGGTCAACGGGCCGAGTAAAACCTAGCAACGATTGTGAGATGCTCATTTTCCGAAATTAACGAGATAGGCGATTTTTTATTCAATTTTCTGGAATTCGGTTTCTATAAAATTACTCCACCTCATCGTATTACCATAAACAATATTGTTTCACAAGGTAACAGGTACTTGATTTTGGTTCATAAGGCCGATTTTTGATTCGTTTCATCATTCATGTCTCTTTCCTACTAAAATTCATTATTTTTATCACGTGTTTCCCAAAAAAAACTATACAACAATAAGCGATGCACCCCATTACATTATCAAATTTCATACCTCAGCTTCTTCCGGCCAACTGGCCGGGGCCACACTAGTGTCAAACTGAGCCAATAGCGGCTACGGTTTGACTTGCTTCTTCTGTTGGCTCTTTCTTTGCTTTGGGCTCAAAATGTATTTGTTTTGGGCTTGGATAGGCTTTCGTCTGCACTCTTGTCTCTCCATTTGGGCTTGCCCATGCTTTGTACACTTATCAATCTATAGTAGTTAAAATTTAAAGGCAAAATAAAGTTGTATATCCACAATTATTAGGTTTGTGACAAATATATCCATAACTATCAAAATACACGAAATATCCAAAAATCAGAAGGTTGTGTGACAAATCTATCCACTTCCGTCTGAAACTATAACGGCGTGTCACACGGCGTTAAATTGACTAACGAAATGTTGAATCGATGCCAGCTCACGTGCCACATAAGCCAAAAAGCAACCAAACTTTACACGTAGATGCCAAATAGGCTAGTTGAATAAAGGCAAAATACAGCTGTATATCCACAACTATTAGGTTTGTGACAAATATATCCATCAATATCAGGTTTGTGACAAATATATCCACAACTATCGAAATACACGAAATATCCATTTCCGTCCACTCCGTTAACTGCGTCAGTTAACTTGATGACTGGACAAACGGTGGATGCTTAGTTAACGTGTTTCTTACCCCACTGAATGACGTGGATTAAAGAGAAAAAAAATTAAAAACCCTAAAAACCACAGACAGCGAGACTAAAAATCCAACCTAGAAACACGCCCGATAACCACTGATCCTCCTCCGATCGACGCCTCCACCCCCAAATAACCCTATCCCAAGCCCAGATTTTGATTCCAACCACAATCCCCAACCATTGCCTCCCTTTTACTCCGACGGCTTCCATGCAGTCGGTGCCATGGTGATACCAAGTTTGAATCTAACCAAATCGCCAACAGAGAAGACTACAGCATCGAGGTCTAACAGATAACGGTGTAAAGTTTGGTTACTTTTGGCATATGGCAGGTGAGATGACATCGATTCAGCATTTCGTTAGTCTATTTAACGCCGTCTGACATGCCGTTATAGTTTCAGACGAAAGTGGATAGATTTGTTACACAACCTTCCGATTTTTGGATATTTCGTGTATTTCGATAGTTGTGGATATATTTGTCACAAACCTGATAGTTGTGGATATACAACTGTATTTTGCCTAATTTTTTTTCTCTTTTAATCCACGTCATTTAGTGGGGTCAGAAGCACACCAACTAAGAATCCACTGTCTGTCCAGTCATCAAGTTAACTGACGGAGTTAACGGAGTGGACGGAAATAGATATTTCGTGTATTTCGATAGTTATGGATATATTTGTCACAAACCTGATAGTTGTGGATATACAACTGTATTTTGCCAAATTTAAATGCCATTGATTAGGAAGAAAACAAAAACTTAAAAAGCCATAAAAAGAGGGGATTAACGGGAACAAACATGAGAAATTTGTGGGGACTGGAAGAGAGATTCACGTTGAGACCCCAACTGAAAAATCAGAAAAAGATTTTGACTCAGTTTGACTTATAGACGGCTTCTACTTTCTAACAGAGAGAGAGAGAAAGAGAGACGTTGGAAATTGACGACAAAAAAAATCGAAAATCAGTAAAAAAAAAAACAAATTACGTAATGCCGAAAAAGCCCGGTGAGGATCACCATCTGCAGAAGAGTGGCCGAGGGTCAAAAATGGAAATTCCTTCCTCTACTTAGGTGCCGTTTGGGTAAATCGAAAAAAGAAGTCCAGAAAACGATGTGAAAAAGGCGTGCCACCGGCCACCGACTTATGATTTACCACTCACCTCTCGCCACCACAGTCCCCCCATTTCCTTCCGCCTTTTCCGTTTCCAAACGCCACCTGTCTCCTCCGCTTCCCCGCCGCCGCGCCTCCTCGCCACCACCGCCGTCCCCATTTTCCTCCTATATATATACTCGCTTCCTTTCTAACCCTAGCCCATTTTCTCATACTGCTAGCAGCCACACTCTCGCTCTCGCTCTCGCTCTCTCCCACTTCCCAATTCTCTGTTTCTTGAAAACAATGGCGTCTTCTTCTTCTTCTTCCTCTTCCTCCCACCTTGCCTTCTTCCTCCTCTCCCTTCTAATCTCGGCCTCGGTCGCCAATGCAGCCCACCACAAGGCCGCAGCGGCGCCGGCCCCGGCCGCCGATTGCTCCACGGTGGTGATGTCACTCAGCGACTGCTTGACCTTCGTGGAGAACGGGAGCACCACCACCAAGCCGGAGGGGGCTTGCTGCTCCGGCCTCGACACAGTGCTGAAGACCAACGCCGATTGTCTCTGCCAGGCTTTCAAGAGCAGCGCACAGATGGGGATTCCGCTCAACGTCACCAAAGCTCTAACTCTTCCTTCCGCTTGCAAGCTCAAAACTCCCCCGATGTCCAGCTGCCAGCGTAAACCCCCATCTCTCCCTCTCGATTTCGTTTGTTTTTGGAATTACGATTCCTTCCTAAAATTGCCGATTCTGTTTGTGGGGTTTCTGAGATCTGAGGAAATGGGTTATTGATTTACGGTTTCTCTTCTGTTTTGCAGTGTCCATGGCTCCCGCTGGTGCTCCTGGTAAACTCCTGATCCTTTCTTCCCCTCTGTTTCTTTGATTTTGTGTTGTTGGAAGGGAGAAAATGGTGGGTTGTGATTGTTCTTGTTGTGCTTGTGCATGCATCTAATGTTGGTGAATGTTTGTGGTACAGTGGCCGTAGGAGGATCAACCGCACTGCCACCAAGCGAGATGACAGAATCAGCTCCAGCTCCATCCCCTGTTGGTGGCGCCACGCCATCCAACTCTGCTCATGCTGTTGCTGTTTCCGGCGTCTTCTCAGTTGGATCTCTAGTCGCGGCGATGGCAACCCTCGCAGTTTCTTCATTCTACTAGAGTAGCAGATTCTGGGGTGGGGGTTTATTTTCCAGTAGTAGGACTTTGTTATAGATCTGTTTATCATATATGTTTTAGATCTTTCTACATAGTAGCGAGTATGAGAGGGTTGTTCTGGTTTGGCACATTTTGTTCTTCCTAATGAGATTTATTATATTTATTGTGACTGTTTGTTGCCTAATTGGGGTTCATCGTTCTGGCTGTGTTCGTCTTGTGGCTATGATTGCGTTGATTTGTGCTCGATTTCGTTTCATTTGTGAATGAGGGAAGTTGGGTTGGTTCGTTGTGAAAGAGTGTAATTGAATGGAATGATGAAAATGGGAAATCTATGCAGCCGGGAATGTGGAGTTTTGCAGACTCCCCAAATACCATTGTTGCAGTTCTAGTTCTGGGTAGGTTTTTGTTTGCCCAATTAGTCAAATGTTGTTCATCCTCTACTTGAGAAAGGTTTGTTGTTTTTGGAGGTGTCCAGCATCTCTAAGTCGTGAAGTTCATTGACCCAATTTGGTGCCTGATTCACGTACGATCAAAGATGGAACACAATGTGAACGGTTATCTTTCAGTACCTTGGTTAAGGTTGTGCATTGTGGAGTATTGGATCGTGGTTATGCCCGATCGAACATGGAACAATGTGACACGTGTACTTGCACCAAGGCGGTTGAGATTGTTAATCGCGCGCCATCGTGGAGTATTCGATCAAAGAACCGAACAATGTGAAACATACCATCCATCAAGGTGGTTGAGGTTATGAATTATGGAGTATTGGATCGTGAAATGCCTGATCGAACACGAAACATCGTGACCACGTACTTATACCAAGACGATTAAGCTTGCGAATCGGATCATCATTTGGAGCATTCGATATAAACACGTACTTGCACCAAAGACCATAACCACTATTATTGGGTTTTCGCTAGATTCTTTGAAGCCATGAAACCTGGCTCCATCCTTTTTCTTCTTCTTCTACTTTTCCGTTCATACACTAGTGATTAGTGAAGATCAGCCATGTGTTGGTTGATATGACCATCGAATCTAATCCATCGGCGGATGGATTTCGCGAATCGGATACGAATAACTACAAGCAGAGATTACGAGGATGAGGAGAATCTGTACCGTTTTACTAATCTGATTTTGCAAAATTAGAATCCAGTGATATCTTGGTTGCATGCATATCATTGTGTTTATTATTACTCCACGTGGCAAAGAAATGACATGTGGATCGATATTCCTGGGCAATGTGGGAATATGCTTGTTACTATAAGCTCGATGACGAGAAAGAAAAGCAGAGAGGTTCCAAATGCGAAATGCTGGGCCTAGGAAGGACACGTGGCGTGTTCATATTCCATCATCCATCCACCTGGCCGGCTAACGTAAGTATGTAACTACTAACCATGGTTGAAGAACGCAATCATCTAAGAGATATTTCATCTTAGGTTCGAAGTTAATTAATACTCTGTTAATGACATACCGTTTGAAGAACACATCTTTCCTTAATCAAGGTAAGGGTGTTGCGTTTGACGGTTTGAGTGCTAGTAATGTAGCTCCAATTCCGTGTTTATCAAACCGTACGGTATGATCGGTCGTTCGATCGGAAAAATTATAATCAAAGTCGAGTTCTAAGGATTTAAAATAACCGAACCACAATTAAATTATAGTTGAAATACAAAATACCTAGCTCTGACTTATTACAATACAACCTCCGATATGATTTTACATTCATACTTTTACTATTAAATGTCTATATCAATCTTATATTGTATAGTTAGCATAATTAATTAGAAGTGAGAAGAGTAAAGATGACAATCTGATTTCAATCACAAGCCCAGCCCAACCTACTCGGGCCCAAATGTAATTCAGTGGGCCAAATATATGGCCCAGTGCTTTTCACCGTTTGCACTTTGCAGAAATGGTCAATTGGACCGTTTAACCGATTCTGGAGAGGGACTTAATTTGAAGATGACACCTAAGCAGAGGGATGAATTGTGAGGAAAATGATAGTACGAGATCCCACATGGTAAACTTGTATAGTTCAGGTACCTGAAATCCAATTTTCCTTCGCGAAAACAACAGAAATGACCTAATGAGGTAAACCTTTGAATGATCGTACGGTAAAGGTCGAAGCAGGTTGTCCCACGTGGCGAGTATCCAACGGCGAAAGGTAACCTCAAAACGCTCTTCCAAATTTCGAATGGGGAGCTTCCGAGCGCGAAATTTGAAGTACTCTCCTCTCTCTCCTCTGTAATTAACAATTGGTTTTTGGCTGTACTGATTTCGAGTTTGAAATCTCCATCTCCATCTCCCTCCTCCTTTCTCTTTTTTCTTGTCTCTTTGGGAAGAGAAAGAACGGATTCGTAGAACGATGGAAATTTGTCAGACGGATAACATGCAAACCGTCTCGTCTCTTCCTCTTTCAACTTCCTTTGATTCTGGTACAGCGTTAATCCTACTCTCCAACTTAGTTTGAAGTTTTAGGGTTGTGATTTGCCGTTATTACCGATTGATAGGTTTTCACCCGCCTCAGTCTCTACATCAATAGCTGGGGACCTAATCATGTTTTCGTTAACGAGTAACATTGTGTTTGATTGCTGAGAAAGTTTACGGTGGTGGTGAAATAGAAACTTCATGAATTAGGGTTAAGAATCTGTATTTTGGTTTTTCTTTTCTGCCTGGAAAGAAACTCTGTATTTTATGGTTCGACATTGTACTGATGTGATTGCAGTCGCCTTGCAGGGTGTGTGTGATTGCGGTGTTAGTTTCTTGAAGTCCTGAGAATCAGAGAAAGGATGAACTGCAGACCAAGTGGTTCCGTTCTTTAGAAGCTTTTGGATAGTGCCGGAATTTGGGCATTTCCGGTGGTGCAATTTGAAGATGAAGCCACATGTGCTAGCAAGAGGGAGAGGGAGTTCCAGGGTCACTTCGCAGCAGTCCCATTTCGAGCTGAAGCACAAAGTGGTGCTTGCACTCAACAAGCTTGCGGATCGAGATACCTGCCACATAGGCGCGGACGAGCTCGAGAGAGTGGCCGAATCTCTAACCACTGATGGGATCGGGCCGTTCCTGTCTTGTATATTGGACACTGATAAGGAGCAGAAGAGTGCAGTGAGGAAGGAGTGCGTTAGGCTGATTGGTATGGTGGTGACAGTTCATGGGAGTTTAGCTGTGCCACATCTAGCTAAGATGGTTGGCAGCGTTGTGAAGAGGCTTAAGGACTCGGATTCGGTTGTGAGGGATGCATGTGTTGAGACGATGGGTGTTTTGGCTTCTACGGTCAGTAACGATGGGGATGAATCTGATGGGGACTTTGTTGTGTTGGTGAAGCCCCTTTTCGAAGCTTTGGGTGAACAGAATAAATATGTGCAGTCAGGTTCAGCGTTATGCTTGGCTAAAGTCATTGACAGTACTCGAGACCCTCCAGCTTCCGTTTTACAGCGAATGTTAACCAGGATTATGAAGTTGCTGAAGAATCCACACTTTATGGCTAAACCAGCAGTAATTGAGCTTACTAGAAGTATTCTTCAGGTGATTTTTAGCGGACTATGTCTTCTACTTTTTGGTTAATTTGGTTCTCTGTCTTGATGTTGCTCATTATTCCTTTTTATAGCTAGAGGTAGAGAATCACCTTGCACATTTCCCCTACTGTGAGTGGGTATTCGTTGATCAGTTTAAGGAACTTAAGAGTGACGTTTTTTTTAGTTACACATACTACACTGGAATTACACAATCATTTTTTCCATTGCTACACATTGATGGTTAGACCATATAATTTGAAGAACCATGACAACTTTAAAAAGTAGCTTGACAAACAGGAGAGATTTTCTTCTTCAAAACAAATGGCTTTCAAACAATCACAACCACAATTCAATGTCTCCCTGATATCATTGTTCATAACTGCATTATTGACCTGCATAGTGATGACTCTTTATCGCTTTTTACTGATGTGAAGTGTTGGAGGTGTTATAGGAACTGTCTTATGTTTTTCTTAAATCTATTTTCCTGAACATATTTTGAGTGACACACTTTAGTTTAAGCTGGAGTTTATCTGTTTGGAGGTTCTGAATGACTTGACGTTTCTCAATTTGTATTTCAGGCAGGTGGTGCACCTTCGCAAAATATTTTAGCTGCTGCAATGACTAGCATCCAAGATGCTCTCAAGAACAGTGACTGGACTACACGCAAGGCAGCTTCTGTAGCTCTAGGAGAAATCGCTGCTGGTGGCGGGTCTTGCCTGGGTTCTTTAAAAGCTTCCTGCATTCGATCCCTTGAATCTTGCCGTTTTGATAAAGTTGGTGACGTTTTACGCTTATGCTTCTTGATTTATGTTTTGAGTCATTGTTGTATTGTTGGATGCTTATTGTGTCTCTTATAGGTGAAACCTGTTAGAGACACTGTACTTCATGCCATACAATGCTGGAAAACTCTTCCTGGGCCTGATGCTCCTGAGGCTTCTGAAACGGGATCATCCATAAAAGGTTTTTGGCTGATGCCACATTCTAATAAGAATTAACTGTATATCTATGATGTAAACGTGTTTCCAACAGTTAAGCAAGTATGGTCTATTGGTTCCAGAATCTTTCGAGCTTACGGTTCTTGTCTTTGTTTTCTTCTGTTATTGGAGGGGCTCTTAGCTTTGGCTTATTCATCAACATGATCTTGTTTTCTTCTACAGTATTTTTGGATGCGGCTAATGATTATTTCTGTACAGAAAACTACTGTGGAGGAGAGTACAGTGACATCACGAGTACCAGTGGCTCTGCACAGAAAGAAATAATAATGAATAAAGTTGTAACAGACCCATCTAAGAGAAGATTTCCTTTGTCTGTAAAGAGAGGGTGCCAGAATTACACCGACTCGCCACAGTCTAAATCAGACGATTGGCGTATTGAAATTGCAGTTCCCAAGCATCATGATTTGCCTCTGCCAGATCCTCAGAATGAGGAATCTGAGGGTAGTAGTTCTATTACCAGGACTTTAGAAAGAATGAGCGTTGACATTTCCAGTGCTCCTGATGTTAGCTATGAATATGTGCCAATGGATGACAAGCAGGACTCTTTCTCTGCGTCCAAGAGAAGTTCAGTTCATCATGACTCTCTCGAGAATGGTGCTTTACTTAAAGTAATGGGAAGACGCCAGCATGCTGCAGGGATGGATACTGAAGATGTTTATTGTGTAAATGTTCAAGATCGTAGAAGTCTTGATTCCACGGTTACTGAAACTACCTTTCAACCTTCACACGAATGCTGCTCACATGTGGCAAGTGAAGTGGCCTCAATTAGGAAACAGCTTTCTGAGATCGAGAATAGACAGGCGAACTTGTTGGACCTGCTGCAGGTAACTTCTTTGCACGATGCATGTTTATTGTTGTTCACTATTATGTAAGTAAATACCATGCCAGATCAGAATCTCCCCCCTCATTATTAGTTGGTCTATTTGAAGTTAGTTGCATGATAAAGCTGTAATACCATTTTTTTAGTGGGTTCTTCCTCAAGTTGATGGTCACATGTGAGTTTGCTAGAAGTTTCTAATCATGCATTTTCATATTCAGGATTTCACAGCCGGGATAATGGCGAACATGTCTGGCTTGAAGTCCAAAGTGTCAGGATTAGAGCATGAAGTGGATAGGATATCTAGGTTTCTTGTGCAAGGAGCTAGGCATTCGGAATCAGCAGTCTCCCGGATTATGAAGCAGAACCAAAATGGTCCCTCTCCTAGATGCACACCCAGACCATCTATTGATATTCAATGTAGGCAGCCTTCACAATTTTCCGTGAAGCACACCGATATTTGGGATGGTAGTAGAACTAGATCGAGAAATTCGGTATCAGCAAAACAAGCTACAGAAATTAGCCCCAATCCTACTGCAGTTGCTACAAGGAATCTTACAGGGAAAGGAATGCTGAAAAGTTCAGGTAGAGGTTCCCAGAGCACAGATCCAAATCTCAAGAATGGCAGCAGGCAAAATGGGATGGAGAACCAGAACTTCTATTGGGAACGTGTAAAAGATTTTATGCGCAAAGGGGACGTGGACTCTGCATATGCTGAAGCACTTTCCTCTGGCAATGAACTCATTCTAGTCGAGCTTCTCAATAGGACTGGTCCTGTGCTGGAATGTCTTTCCGGCCAAACCATGTATGAAGTTCTTACAAGTTTGGCATCATTCTTCTTGGAGCAGAGATTTATCAACTCTATCATACCCTGGCTGCATCAGGCAAGTTCTTCACTATTTTTGTCCACTTACATGTCATAATGGTATCTTCTCCCTAGATTATTGGAGGAAAAGTGAATACAACATGTTGCTGAGATGGATGGCTCTGGCCTCTGTATGTTTCTTTTCATATGTACATGGTTCAAACTCTTATGGGAATTTGTTCTCTTGGGTGTAGGTTGTGGAATTGAGCTCAATCCATGGACCAGATTACCTTGGCCTCTCTTCGAAAGGAAGAAGAGAATTCTTGTCTGCAATTCAGGAGGCAGCCGGCATGGGATTCTCGAACCCTGCTGAAAGAAAATCTGTCACCCAACTTGCAGCTAAACTGCAGCAACTGTGGGGTAAGAGACAGACCATTGTTTGCATATGGCGGCCAAATTGCATATCCATTGCTGCAAACATTTCTCCCCTCTTAACAATCGTGCCTTGAAACTTGTTTTTGACAGGAAGGAACCCTTGACTTCTCCAACTGGATCAACTCATCATATCTCTGGCCTGCCTTTTATGTTCATTTGGTAACCGTCGTTTTAGCTTTTGATTGCCTTAGCTTTGGTATTTGCTGTTCCTGTCGAATTATGTTCTAGGTGCTTTGCTGGTGAAGAATGTTATCAGTAAGATCGAGATGAAAAAGACTTGCAAGCATTTGGAAAATTAACCAGTGATATATATGAAGTTACAACTACAGCATAGCGATATATGTTACAGATTATTCTATCGAAGATCATAATCACTTCGTCACAGTTGAATAGCAAGTAGTGACTGCGATCCAACGTAATAAAATCAATGTCTTAAAATCAATGTCTAAAATCACTGACTTTTTTGGAGATAAAATACATGGCATACCATTAAAGTGCGAAAATTGAGAGTCAGTTAGAGCGTTAGTATCACTTAAGTTAAACATTCGTGCACATCTACCTGAAATTCTATATCGAGTACCACTAAGGGTGAACATCGGTTTGGTCTGGACTGAATCGGATCAAATTCAGGAGAATTGCGGTGCATTTGGTCCTGTTCAAATGTCAATTCAATTCATTTTTCTTCATTATTTATAAATTTCACTGGATCAAAGATCAAACCATATTATATTCGATTCGGTGTAGTCTGATCCAAACATCGATTTGCTCCGATGTGGTAGGGTGTTAACCAACCCATTGCCCAACCGTACCCCTAGGTACCACTTCTTAAATTGCAGGCCATTGATATACTCCATCATTTCCTCTTTTGAGAGATGTTTGCCTCAAGGATTAAAATATATCATTCCGTACCAACGGTTTGACCTGAAAAACCTTCTACCGGAGGCAAAATCGGTATGCGGTATTTAGCGGTATAATACGATTGAACCATGATTAAACCACAGTTTTAACATAAAATACCCTATTATTAACTTTTCGAGTACAACCTCCGATACGATAACTCAATTTTTGGTTTGCCTAGCCGACAAAATTGTTGGGAATGTTTCTTTCCGACGAGATGAGAAATATCTGATGCATAAAAATAAATTTAAAAATGAGAAAAATTCCAAAATGTTATGATTTTTTCTTACTAATATCACCTAGTCCAATTCCTTGGTAACAGAAATCCTGTTCTAAAGGATGAGAAACAAGTGATGGTAATAAAGAGCAAGACCAGAACCGCTACTTCTTTCTTGTCATTGTTTCCGCAGAGATCCGCTCGAGAGAGATCATTCATTCATTCGGGCTGAAAAGACGCAGCAGCAAAGCAATGGAAGGCGAGTGCGCGGAGCGGCGGAAGAAAGCCAAGCTGGCGATCATCGAGATGGCCCACGCCATCAGCGTCCCAATGTCGCTCACCGCCGTCGTCCGCCTCAACGTCGCCGACGCCATCTGGCAAGGCGGCGCCAACGCCCCTCTCTCCGCCGCCGAGATCATCTCCCGCCTCCCTCCTCCTCATCTTCTTTCTTCCGGCGCCGCCGCCCAGGCGGATCCCCGGAACCTCCAGCGCATCCTCCGCTTGCTCTCCGCCCACGGCGTGTTCGACGAGCACGTCGCGGCCGCCAGCGGCGAGAGGAAGTACTCCCTGACGGATGTCGGCGAGACGCTGGTCACGGATGCCGACGGGGTTTCCTACGCGGCCTACATCCTCCAGCACCACCAGGTACGCCGTACGCCCCTCCCACCCACCACATTCACGTGACTCCGCTTTTCACGTGACTCCGCTTTTTTAGAGACGACAATAATGAGTCGGATAGTGACTGTGAATTATCTTTTACCGTAACTAGTTGGAAAGTTATTTATTATACATATTCATACAATATTTTGATATAATAATAATAATTTATTATGTTCTCAACTCTATTGTGTTGCTAATCACAAGTAAATCAACATTATTGAAGTGAAAAGTTATAAAAATAACAAATCACCAGGAGAACACGTAGAATGATTCAATAGTTCACGAAATGTTACGAATATACTATGAATAGCGAATATATTAAAAAAAATAACGATTTTATACATACTGCCGAGTATTTTATTTTGTTCGGATTTTATCCTACCCGATTTCGTAAAGGTCGGATGGATATCCAAAATTATGGTTAATTCTGTCATCCTTACTCTTCTCTTTGTTTTTTCTTTCAATATTTTTCTTTCTACATCTGCTAGATCAGATCGAAACGCGACGGTGGGATGGTAAAAATAATCATACTTGTGGATAGCCGTCTGAATCCAATTTATTTGGTTAGGGTAAAATCCAAATTCGAATGATTTTTTATGGGTATGGTTTAAATTTGAATACATGCATGGTTTTCTTATTAATTCAACCCGAACTTGCCCAATATCGCAAAAATAAGATCACATATGAATATGTAATTTTAAGTAATATACCCAATTGTTATGTGAGTATGAGTATTATATAAATAAAATCCAAATTTTTTATTTGGAATAATAAATATGCACTATTCCTCACGGTTGCCATCTCTAACTGGCGGCAGAATGACAATGCTAGTTTTTAAATTAAGTGGCAACTAATAGTCTAATACTTGGGATTTTGACCCGAAAACTGAAAGAGGGGAAAGGGGAGGGGGGAGAACGACATGGAGAAAGATGAAGTGACGAAAGCACTCTGATCATAAGTTCGATTGTCTGACTCTCTCTTCCACCTGATGGGCTTTTATTATATAACGGCCCAATAACAAAAGAAATAAAACAACTTAACTGGGCCGGACTAGCAACAAAATTCGTATTTTCTTAGAGCCCAGCCAATTAACGGACCTGAAATTGTCGCGTCTGAGCAGGACGTCCTGATCAGGACGTGGCCGCTGGTGCACGAGACGGTGACGGACCCAACGACGGATCCGTTCGTGAAGGTCCACGGCGAGTCGACGTACGATTACTACGGGAAGCGGCCGGAGATGATCGAACTGATGCGGAAGTCGATGTACGGCACGTCCGCACCGTTCATGAAGGCCCTGCTGGGCGGCGACTACGGCGGGTTCCACGGCGTCAAGACATTGGTCGACGTCGCCGGAAACAGCGGCGATTCCCTGCGGATGATCCTACCCAAGTTCCCCAACATCCGAGAAGGAATCAACTTCGACCTTCCCGAAGTCGTTGCCAAAGCTCCTGCCATTCCCAGTGAGTGTATAGTTTGTTGCAGTGAAACCGGCCACACCTAATCAAACGGCCATTTGAAACAGTGGTTTAATTATTTTATATTTTTGCCAATGCCACATTTGGTCACTGATATTACTAAATTATGTCATGTTTAGTCACTAGCAAAATTTAATGTCAATTTTGGTCACTCGAATTACTTAAACAGTTCACATTTAGTCACTCTCCCGTTAGTTTCTGTCCAACTTCATTAATGGAGTTGGACGGAAACTAACCGGAGAGTGACTAAATATGACATGTTTCAGTAATTCGAGTGGCTAAATGTGACATGTTTTAGTTAATTCGAGCGACCGGAGTTGGACGGAGACTAACCGGAGAGTGACTAAATGTGACATGTTTCAGTAATTCGAGTGACCAAAATTGATATTAAAATTTTCTAGTGACTAAACATGACACGATTCGATAATCTCAGTGACCAAATGTGGCATTTACCCAAACATGTTATTACATTTTACTATCATCATTAATTCATTATCGTTGTTGCAGACGTGAAGCATGTGGGTGGCGATATGTTCAAGTCCATACCTAGTGGTGATGCAATCTTCATGAAGGTAAAAAAAAAAAAAATACCGTTGGATTGGGCTTCTCACAATTATTTACGTACTAACCAATTAATCCGAAACGACGTTGTTTAACCAGATCTTTTCATTCCTAAACCGTGTGACATATGCAGTGGGCTTTGACGGCTTGGGCGGAGGAGGAATGCAAGAAGGTAATGGAGAACTGCTACAAGGCGCTGCCACAGGGAGGGAAGCTGATCGTCATCGAGCCCGTGCTGCCGGAGAAGAGCGACCACAGCCTCAGGACGCGAGCCCTGCTCGAATCCGACGTCTTCATGATGACACTTTACAGGGTGAAGAGCAAGCAGAAGACAGAGGAAGAGTTCAAGCAGCTTGGCCTGGCTGTTGGCTTCTCCAACTTCAGGGCGTTCTACTACGTTGATTACTTCCTCACCCTCATGGAGTTCCAGAAATAATAGGGATCTTTGTGTAAATTTCCAAGCTAGGCTCCAAATATACTCGTAGTACGACATAATACTACTCGTGCTGTAATAATATCATCGTTGTCCGTCGTCAAAGTTATAATAATCAGGAATCTCTTATCAGATATGAACCAGTTTCATGTCTTGAATTAACCATCTGCAGTTCTTTTAGTCTGTTAATCCTTCCAGTTTCTGCCATTCTAAAACTTAGCTTAGGAGCGTTGTCTTCTTGTTGAATTCTGGACTCTATAAATGTACATTCAGCGAAGCAAAAGAAGGCTAGGCTTCACATACAAAAAGGAATCAGACAGAAAAAAAACCAGCAATTGTCAACACTCCTTAGGAAAGAAGAAGAAAAAAAAAAGGCTTCTTTCTCCTACCTCAACAAGGAAATGGAGAACAAAAACGGTTGCCCTCTTTTCCTTTTTACCCCTCCAGAACACCAAAATGGGACAGACCTGCTTGACAAATTTCTTACAGTTTCAAGTTCTGTCCCAAAATTGGGTTACAAACTATATTATATATAGATAGATAGTATAATTGTAATAGTATACATATGAGACACACTCTTCCCCCCCTCTCCCAAACTCACGGTTGATGACTATCTGGATTCCTTACCGCATTCGGCAATCCAGAAGGATGATGATGGTGATGATGCTCAGGAGAAGATGCATTGCTGCTAACCTGCTCTACTGAGACCTCACTGACGCTCCTCCAGCTTCCTTCCCCTTTTCTTTTGCTCCTGCTCTTTGCTGAACGACTGCGGCCAGGATCCTCGTAGAGTGTCACGCCTTTATGGTTGTTGCTCTGAAGCATTAGTTCATCCACGTCGCTGTCCTTTGATTGTACGCTCTCTAGCAATTCGACCACCTCGCTCATCAGTGGCCTCTCCTTGGGGTTTTGGCTAAGGCATTGGTATGCTAAGTTTGCTACTTTCAAGGCCGTCCTACTCGAGTACTGGCCGTCCATTCTAGGGTCTAGGATTCTCAAAACCTTCTTGTTTTGGTTCAAGAGCGGCCGGGCCCACTCGACTAGGTTGTGTTCTCTGCTTGGCCTGCTCTTGTCTAGTGCTCTCCTTCCCAGAAGCAGCTCTAGCAGCACGACTCCGAAACCATACACATCGCTTCGCGCTGTCAAGTGTCCTGTTTCACCATAAACCCACATGCTCATTCAGACAATTTTGCTCTACTCGGAAACAAGAGTAATGGAGACGTGGAATTTCCACCGAGGAGCTTACCATACAATAAAAAACCGCTACTAATTATAAGAGTAACAGAGCAGTTACCATGTATACAGTTTCTGAATGGGTTCTCAATTCTCATGGGTAAATGGAAGAACATGAGGCACAATTTAATAGCATAACTTACCGGTCATTACATACTCTGGAGCTGCATAGCCATAGGTTCCCATTACCCGTGTTGATACATGAGTCTGGTCCCCCATGGGTCCATCTTTGGCAAGCCCGAAATCCGAAAGCTTTGCATTGAAATCCTGCACATCGTACACCAAAGAACTAGCTCGAAAGTCTTCAAAGAAATACCAAGAATGCTTCCAAATTTTATTGCATGCAGAAGGAGATGCATTTCATCATGTTATCGAAACAAACCAAGAGAATAATGGATGTTATAAAAGATATAAGAGTATGGATTGACAACTAACCGCATCTAGTAGGATATTTGATGTCTTGAAATCACGGTATATGACAGATCTTTCTGCACCGTGAAGAACAGCTAGTCCTTTGGCAGCATGTAGAGCAATCTTCATTCGCTTTGGCCATGTCAAAGTACAACCAACTCCTGGTGTTCACAGAACAAAAACAGTAAGGAGGAAGACACACCTTAATCCCTTTTCCAGATGCCAAATATGCATGGTGCAGCATGTATCGAATTCAAAAATTTGGATATCATAAAAGAACAATGCCAAAACATGCATGTTTAACTAATAGAGCCACTTCATAGTTCATGCATGGAGTATAATTATCATTCAAGAGAACTCGTTCTCCACTGTTTGTTCAACAATTCCTTGTTTTCCTGATGGGCGATTAGTAACTTTTCCCCTTCTCTGCTTATAAAACAAATCCCTTCCATCCATAGATCAAGTGATTAATAGTAGGTGAGCTGATTAACAATTGCACATGTATGAAAGTCACAAAGGACATACTTCGGAAAAGATGTGTTTCCAGACTTCCACTGGCCATGTACTCGTAGACCAAAAGCCTGTGCTCGTCTTCACAGCAGTAGCCGATAAGCTTTACAAGGTTAGTATGACTGAGTTTACCTAAAAAATTGACTTCTGCCTGCAAAGATAACATAAAGATAAGAACAGCAAGTAAGTTCCCCTCATTTAATTCAAAGCAGTTTCAACTAGGCAAGCCTGCCGTCCACCAAGGATATTTATCCGGAAGAATGGCATCATTCGAGCAGCGACCAACCACTTATCCTCCGATATTCCAAAAGAATACATGACCTCATAGATGGTAACAGGAAGAGGTTCACGTTTCAAACAACAAAACATTGCAGCTTAAATTCAGGGGGGTTTATAACTCATGCTTCTTCATTCTCATGGAAGAGTAAAGAGAGAGGCTTCAAGCATCGGTAAATAAAACAACTGGCGCATCTAGAGCACAGAAAAAACAATCACAGAGAAGAGAAAGCTAGAAATACCAGCCATTCACGGTCTCCTTGCAACCCATCAGGATTAAGCTCCTTGATCGCAACATTCGTGGTAGGATATCCAGGCCTTACACTCTCATCGATGACTCCCTTATATACAACACCAAACCCACCTTCTCCAAGGATGAAATCCGGCCTAAAGTACTTCGTTGCCAATGTCATTTCCTTGTAGGTAAAGTTATCGACATTACTATATCCCGGGTTGTTTCGAAGGTCCGAAACGTTCCTATGAACTTTAGGAGCGCTGGTCTTGGTCATACTGTTTGTATCACACGAGCTTTGCTTATTTAGCGCAGCAGAAGACCTCATGGATTCACTTCCTCCTGATTTTCAAAAATGACCAGACAAAGACAATACACAAAACCCCATAAGCCGACCTTCCATTAATGAAACATCGTAAGCATTAAGATATTGGAACTAACGGATAAAAAACAAAGGGGGGAACGTAAGAAAGCAGCCAACACATGGGTTTTTCATCACATTCCCTCTAATTCATGCCAGGAAATTCCAATGCCATCACGAAACTACGTAATCGATAAAGAAAGACGGCATCTTTCTAAGAACCTTCTAAATTTATCCATAAATATACAACCGGACAGGGAGAAGAAAACACAAGTCAACCGAAGAGAATCCGGCGCATTCCATATATATATACAAATAAAACTGCCACCATCAATGAACCCAAGAGTTCGTAATTAATAATCAATCAACAGAGTAGGAAAAAAGAACAAAAAAGCAGCGATCTTTGCGAAAGAGGAGCAGTGGGGATGATTGGGTTTGAATCGATTGATTACCCTTGGAGCTGACGGATGAGAATTTGCGATTTTCCTTGGGGAACCGCTGGTGCTTGTTCATGCTGAAACAAAGCCCCATTAACTTCGACCTGATATGCAATTTCAATCTACGCCAAAAGCATCTCATACTTTGCTATCAAACACCTGCCTACATCACCTTTTATCCTCGCGGGAGAAAAAAGAGAGGATATATGTAAGCAAGAAAATGCCAAATCCCCAGAAAAAAAAGGGAACGAAAGCGCAAATATCTAATCGGCGGAGGGCCCTAGTCCCGCAAGAGAAAAAAGAAGAAACAGAGGAAAAGGACGGTTGGGGGGCAAAATAAAAATGGGGTCTCAGATCTGATCTGGGTTCGCCGGAATCCTCAAATGGTCGTCGTCGCCGCCGCCACGGATTCCAGCCGGAACCAAACAGCGAGAGGAGGGAAAGGGGGGAAAGGAAAGCGCCAAGCGGACAAATTAGGGGAATTGGGTTTGGTGGGAGATGGGAAGTATGTAAGAGAAATTGGTTAAAAAAAGGAGCAGGGCTCTGGATCAAAGAGAAAAGAGGACCAACGGAAGAAGACTACCGAAGAAAACAATTGGCTGTGGGTTTTTTTTCCGTTTAAAGGATTTGGATTTGTTAATTCAGATTTCTAGCATGACGACGCTTTCATTTTTTTGTTCTTAGAGCAGGAGGAACCCGCCAAAATCGCCAGACCAAGCTTTGACCCCCGCGGCTTTCAAAGTCTAAAAACTACTACTATCGTTTTTCTAGCTGTCTTTCGAGGAGGGAGAGGAATGATTTGATTTGCGAAAACAAAAATGTGATCATTCTAGTACTCACATATAGAGGAACGGATCGGTCGAATATTATCGATTTATATAGTGAATTCAATTCAGTTATTGTTAGAAGTTTATTTGATCATTTTTTACATTTTTCAACGATCCAAGTCTCGACTTTGGGTTTGCGAATCTTGTTTCTTGTTTGATTCACAAACCACATTCCGGCTGAGAATAGAGACGATCATGTCGTCATCATCGTATAACCTTGTTGTTAGTGAGTGGTATAACTGTATAAGATTGTTATTGGACATCTTTCAACAAGTCAAGTTATTGAGATCAATTGGTACTTTACATGGTATCGGAGCTTTCCGTGACTGAAAGATTATCTCTTCGAATCCCCCACGACCCACATCTGTTAAGCACGTGGTATTCAGACATGTGCAAACATCTAGGTTGTATGACTGGTTTTCGTTTGAGAGGGTGCATTAGTGAGTGGTTTAGGATTCATTATTGAACAACTATGAGTTATTGGAATCAACTGGTTCTTGATAATGATGGTATTGTTTATGACAATATGGTTAGTGAGTGATATAAGATTTATGATTGAACTTTTGCCAACATTTCGAGTTATTGGAATCAACTGAATCTTGACAATTATGGTATTGTTTATGAAAATATGGTAGAAGCTAGGTTCTCTGACGTTTATTTATTTGGATTTTGGATATCAAACTCATACATGGGTATTTAAATTTGGGCTGTAAGATAAAAATAGTTTTTCCCGCACAAACGTGATTCACTATAAATTGTATTTTATTTGGTCCATAATCTATACTCCACACATGGAGTATGGACCAAACTACACCATTTTCGAACTCTTCTCGCAAGTCACGACTCCAATTGGATTATCATTTCTTCTTAGTTCTTACCGAAAACGTCTTCAAAACTATCTTTCTTTTTTCATTGATGTCGTTTTCCGTTTAACGTTTGTTGGATTACAATTGTGTTTTATCCACATTGGATTACATTTAAGTGTTATATTCTAGATTCATTGGTTCGTTTCATTCTAACTATTAACTTACACAGTTACACTAGGTAGATTCTATGCCGCGTTTCGTTGCTGCTTCTAATAAGATTAGATGTATTATTTCATAATTCGTATTTGATTTGTGATCACATTTAGCAAAGATCCAATAGAAAACTCTTAACGAAATCTAAATCGGTAAGTGATTTTAGTTGTATGAAATGATTTAATCATGATTGAACTATAATTTTAGCATAAAATGTCCTAATGTTGATTTTTCCGGTACGAATTTCGGTGTGATTTTACAAATTTTAATTTTTTGTGATCTACATCGATGGACGGATTGGAGCAACGTGTCAAGCCTTATTCAACCACGATTGAACTACATTTTAGCACAAAATACCATAATGATAACTTTTTTGGCACAACATTTAGTATTGTTTTTTTTTCCTCAACATAAATCGAGATTCGGGTTGGAGCAACATGTCAAGCCTTATTTTAACCAGGCACGGCTTAACTACAAATTTAGCACAAAAAAAATCTACTGCTAACTTTTTTGGTACGACCTCAGGGTATGGTTTTACAATTTTTTGTTTTTTTAAACATAAATCGAGGCTCGGGTTGGAGCAAAGTGTCAAGTCTGATTTAACCATGGTTGAACTACGATTTTAGCACAAAATACTATAATTCTAACTTTTCTGTTGTGATTTTCGGTATGGTTTTACAACTTTTACTATATTTGAACATAATCGAGGCTCGGATTGGAGCAACGTGTCAAGCCTGATTTAGCCACGTTACCGTACTGCTGGTCAAAAAACACCTAAATAATCCAAATCGGTAGGTGATTTTAGCACAAAATACCCTAATGCTAACTTTTCTAGTACGTCCTTCAATATGGTTTTAAATTTTTTTTCTAAACATAAATCAAGATTCAAGTTGGAGTAACGTGTCAAGCCTACGCTAACAACATTCCCCCTAGTTTTGAATGAAAATTACCATTCACCGACCCATCAAATAACACTAAGGATTTAGTAACCATGTTCATGTATCAAACAAATCAAGCCATTGGAAAAATTCTATAACTGCCACGTGTTTAATTTAGAGGTGGTTGTTACCTAAACAATTAAAAATACTTGTCAATTTAACGGGGCGGGATCACTTCTCTTAAGGGAGTTGTGAGATTCACAACCAAGAGTATTTTAGGTATGACAAAAAATAATATTAATTAATTTTTTTGTATTAATTATAGATTGGGAATTAAAAACCCACATTAAATACATGCTTTTTTTAAATTTAAATCCTAAAATAAACACAACTCTCACTCTTCCTTTTTCAGCGGCCAATCCACTCCGACCGGCTAATTTTCCGACTGACAGACTTTCTCCGGCGAAATACTTAAATCACACTCGCTCCGCCCACCTACAAAAAATTACCACCTTGTCAATGCGTTAGTGGTACGCTACCACTGGTATCATTACCAGTACAACTGGTAGTGGAACGCTACCAATACCATCTGGTACCACTAGCTGGTAGTGGTACCAAATGATAGTGGTACGCTACCACTACCATCTACCAGATGAGTACCACTAGTCTAAAACAAAAACAAAAAACAAATATGGAATCTGAAAATCTCAAATCTGCAAAAATATAAATAAATAATAATGGGAAGAGAAAAGGGGGAGTCGGTGACCTTGCGGTAGAGACCTCGAGGCAGGGGGCAAAGGGGGGTGACTTTGCGACAGGGACGGAGTACGCCGCGAGACGGCAGCGACAAGGGCGTGAAGAGGCAGGGGCAGAGGCGCCGCGAGATTGCAGTGAATGCGACGGCGTGAATAGGTGTCGGTGGGAGGAGGACAATAGGAGGAAGGCGGCGGGAGAAAAGCGACGACGGTGGGAGGAGTTGACGAGATGGGAGGAAGAAGAAGAAGGGAGGACTGGTGCCGGTGGCGGCAGCAGAGAGAGGGGGAATGATATGAAAATTTTAATTAGAGTTTTTAGAGAGGGGAAGAATATTGAAATTAGTATGGGTTGTAATCTCATATGGTCATATTTTTCGTCCAAAAATATCCTTGTACCAATCTCATCCATCAATTTTAAAAAGTATGAAAGAGAATAGATCTAATGGTAGATAGAGTGGGTTGTGAAAATAACAACCCTAAAAAGGGTTGTCACCGTATCTCACCCCAATTTAACTAACCCCTAATGCAACAGTAACCACTTTATACTTTAATAAGTATTATTACAAAAGAAACAATAAAACATAAACACTATAATAGTAATTTAAACCAAACCATTAGCCTTAAATATAACTACTATCGTCATGCACCATGATGCCCTGTTTCGAGAGCAGATCCGGTGAGTAACCTTGTGGTGAGTAACATCATGCATAACCCAATAAGAATCTGCCACATCAGCGCCTCCTTCTCTTTCCTGGAAAAATCATTAATTTTCTTTTCCTTAATCTTTAACGGACGATTTCTCACTCGTTTTAACTCGGAATTTAATTTTTTTTTGCACAGTTAGATAAGATTAATTGTGCTCTTCAAAATGATATCCACTTTGATATTTTTTGGAACAAAAAAAATTTGCCAGTTATTACCAGTCTATACCATATGGTATTGACTGGTATTAAATAACAGCATACCATATGGTATGAAAAATACCAGTCAATACCATATGTTGTTATTTAATATCAGTCAATACCATATGATATTAAATAACAGCATACCATATGGTATGAAAAATATCACCTCATACCAGGGTGATATAGTATGGTATAGAGTTGGTAACGAGAGGTTTGAAATTTTCCCCCCCAGAAAATTTTGAAATCCAATAGATCAATGATTAAATAGTTCCTTTTGTGCAAAATTTTCCGAAAATGACTAAACAACGAAGGAGATACCATATGGTATGGAGTTGGTAACGAGAGGGATGAAAAAAAATTTCTCAAAAAATATTGAAAATGGATATCATTTTGTAGAGCACAACGAACTCGTTCCATCTGTGCAAAAAAAATTGAAATCCGAGTTAGAATGAAGAAGATATGATCCAATTAAGAAAACTAGGAAAAATTAAATTCCTTTAATTCTCCACCCTTAGATCTGCAGTCACTTAAAAGAAGGGTCCAGATTTGATTACTCATTATTACTGACCCTGAGTTTACTCATCCTATCTTGAGCCCCTGTTTCAATAACGTATAAAATTTTTTATACAATTGATTTTGTAAAGTCGATTAAATGTTGTACGATGCCGTTTGCTTTTGACCCATCTTTGTGGTTAACGAGTTCGCTTCACCCGAACCGACCCAATTTCTTGTGGGATCAATGTGAGTGAGTCTGAAAACTGAGATTCGGAAAAGCGGGGAAAAACCCTAGAAAGCTCCACCGCTCCACTCGTCGATTAATCAAGTCTGTCAGCTCGAACTCTCAGTCTATCCACTTCCAATGGCGGACGAAGCAAACAGAACCGTAAGAATAGCTTCAAACTCCATCTGCTAGCTCTGATTCCGCCAGACGAAGCTGGTCTTCCTTCTTTTGATTGAACACAGCATACGATTCATTTTGTTTGTTCAGTTGACCTGCTAAGTTACTGAATACATTTTGTCTCCATGTGGGTTTTTGGGAATCTTGTTGCTTTCCTCAGGCTTTTATGGAGATTCAAGGTCGCATGATCGAGACCACTGCCAAACTGAAGCAGGTTAGTCGCTGTTCAAATCTTTCCATTTGCTGGAATTTTTAAAACTCAGGACAAATCTGGATGCAAATTTGAAGTTACATAGTATCATGAGTAGCTAGCTTCAGGGGATTGTTTACTCTATCCACCGGGAGCGTTCATAGATCATTGGTCTCAATCTCTATAATGTATATACAGTAAAGAATGGTGAGTTGATTTTGAGATTGAAATGTCGTAGTGTTGACCTAGAATTGGGTACTCTGCTTTAGGATGGCATTCTACTGTGCCATTTCAGCTGCTGGTTTTACTTTTGATACATTCCCCGGAAGTTATTCCTGCGGAATTGGTATCATAGAAGCAAATGTATAGCATGTGTGATCTTGATTTTAGATACTTTGTCACCGTGAAGCATGCCAATGGTGTGAAAGCTCTTTTGTGGATTGGGATGTGAGGCTTGTGTGTATTTGAAAAGCTGAGGCGAAAAATGACAAGGGGGGATCAGTTGATGCTTCTTTTTTTAGACTGTTTTTCTCCAGTTTTTGGTGCTTGTTTTGGTGTTTGTACTTCACAAGATGGGTGGCTAGTAAAAGGTAATTGTTGTCATTAATCTGAATTGATGCGTCTTTCATTTCAGGTGCAGAACCAGATGCGTACTAAAGAGGGAGAAAAGAAGCGTGCTTACCTGACTTTGCAGGAATTGCAGCAGGTGCCTGATGACACAAATACATACAAGTCCATAGGTATGAAGCCTGAAAACGTCCTTCGTATGGGGGATATATCCTATGCTGTTTCTTTGCTTCCATCATTGCTTGTTTATGGAGCTGATTTATGTGTTCGTTACTCGACTATTTCCACGTTATGGGGGGAAAGAAAAAAAATTTGTGGTTTAACATTCTTTTCTTCATCCTTTTGCAGGAAGAACGTGAGTAATGCTGCACAGTCTGGTTTTGCTCTAGCCAAATGATGATTTGTTCTAGTTAGGGCATATGTGGCTGTAAGTGATGGATTTCTCTCTTTCTGTTGAACGGTGGCCAGGTTTGTCTTGGAGCCTAAGTCTGTGTTGATGACTGAACAAGAGCAAAAACACAAGGATAGTGAGTCTGCAATAGCGTCGCTGCAGGTATAGCCATTTTCATTCTATCTTCTCCTTGTTAAAGAGTGGTATAAGATCCAGCAGAACCTTCTCCCAACAACTCGAGTTATTGGGACCAACTGGTTCTCGACATGGTATCAGAGCCGGTTTGACCAAATGGTCGTGTGTTCGAATCTCCACGACCCCCAATATTAACAGTTGATTAAAGCACAAGGTATGGTGGGCCTGTGCAAACTTCAAGCCCATGGGTTGGCTTTCGTTTGAGGGGGCGTGTTAGAGAGTGGTATAAGATCCAGCAGAACCTTCTCCCAACAACTCGAGTTATTGGGACCAACTGGTTCTTGACACTCCTTTCTGCTGCTGCTAACTCTTTGTCTACTAAATCAAACCAACTGAAATCACATTAGGAGGACAATCTGACCAATTTAATGTGATCGATGCTCCTAATATCTTCCGTATACCGTATGTTCCTGATGTCAAACTACCTTGTTTGACTTGGGGAACTTAAATTTGAAAACATCACCAATCTATTTCTTACCTTGTTGAACTTGGATCTTATAGAATTGTTTCATGAGAAATGGTAGTATGAATTATGAATTATGTTTTTTGGTTGAACAGACATCCAAGGAGTACTTGGAAAAGCAGATGGCTGAGGTGGAGAACAACTTGAGGGAGCTTTTGCAACAGGATCCCGGTCTTGCCCGCCAGATTATGTCCATGAGTGTGTAATGTAAGAAGCGAGCTTCACTATTTCTTCGAAAGTCGTCCTGGTATTACTACACATTTGCTGTTTGATTCAATAGTAGTTGGTTGGAAGCAACCGTAAACTTGCTTCCTTTTATTTTCTTTTAGGATGTGATGCTCATCTGGCTACTATATAACTTACGCATTTTTGCTTATACATACAATTATATCAAACTTTTACTATACTGAAAACACCCATGAAAAAAGAACCCCATATAACTTGATTACTTTTTTTTTTTTGGTAGAGAGAATAACTTGATTACTTATGCACCCATAACATGGCTACTATATTCTCCCAGTGCCCAAATGGGGAAGATGTTCCTGTACGAGGAGTAGTGCAGTGTACAATTCCTCATGAAAGCTCCTGTGAGTTCCTGTTCACAAATCAATACCGAAAGGCCCGAATCAGTAAATCCTTTCTTACTGATTTCCAACGGATGATGATTACTACTCTTGATTTACCTGCTGGGGGAAGTCACCATCATCCATTTGTGAATTAACCAACAGTTTCATCCCCTTCTCGATCGGTGCTGAATCCACATTAGCCTGTTACATCATCACAGTACAAGTTCATACGACAATGATACCGCGGCAACAGCCACTGTGATAGCAGGCATTGGCGTGTAGAAGTACTGTAAGTGCTAATTACCTGACCGGCATGGATAAGGGAGAGCAACGCCCATGCAGTTTGAACTAGATTTGCTTTATCCCCCTCCAGATTGGTGTATACCTGTTTCGGTTTTTTACACACTGTCAAGAGCTCTGCTCTTTGTCTATATATCATGCAAGTAAGGAAAATTGGCTGACCTTGTTTTGGCTGGAGAGGTAGCTCTCCCCCCATCCACCACAAGGTAGTTGCTTGGACAACAAGAATCGGCACGCTTTTCGCAGGGCAGGACTGTTTGTGTAGCTTCGGCCGCAAGCGACCAGCCCTTCCACTGCAAACCACGTCCCGTAGGTGTAGCAAATCCCCCAACAACCATACCTGATAAATAACATAGTTTCCACAGCACATCCCACAGGTTAGAACATGGCTGCATAAATTTTTACTTAGTAGTATGGTAATGGACATTATTAGTACCACGAGCCGTCATTGTTCTGTGTTTGCTCGATGTAGTCGGCTCCTCTGGCGATAGCAGCATCAACTTCCTTACTTCTGTGGGTTGGGTAGTGCTTCCTGAACATAGCTAGAGCTTGCATTACTGATCCTGTGCACTCAACATATCTGTGTAAACAATTTCCAGGATGAGGCTCAGTTTTACCCATCAGTTTCCCCTTAAAGAACATATCCGCGTGTTTAGACTGGCTTACTCGCGCTCGATCATAGCGTCTTCAAAGAACTCTGTTGGATTGAACTTCTGTAGCAGATCAAGAAGACGATTTGATGAAAATTTAGGCGAGTTGACTAAAATTTGGGTTTGAAAAAGGATTGTGAATGGATTATATGAACTAGTTAATTACCTCTAACCACTCGTATGCTCTTTGTGGCTCCCAGGCTGTGAATCCACCGTTCTTGCTCTGCATTTTCATGCTGAGAGTTCAGCAAAACTCTAACCACTAGAACCCTTTTGAGGGGATTGACACGTTTGAGGAATGATCATGGTTTATTTGTTCTTACTTGGAGAGAAAGAATGACATTAACAGCATCAAACAACTGCTCTGCTTCCATTGGCTGGCCGACGAGTTCTACAGGCATTTGAGAGTACAGCAGTGCACACTGCACAACAAAAGTGAAGCAGTAACAAAATATTGTGAGAATGTACATATATAGGATTAAGAGAATGTGCTTGGATGCTTGTTCTGTGGTATCGTTTTCTTTCGTTAATATGCAGTACTCCGCGACAGCAGAAAATTGCAGGAAGTGCAAAAATTAAACTGAGAAATCAACCTTGAGTCCTTCAGCAGTGCAATCAGAAACTTGCCACCCATGATCCTGAGTTGAGAAGGTCCATGACCCTTTTGATATGTGCCTATACATTGCCTTGAAGTCGCCACTCGGATTCTCCCTCACCTTTGTAACACCATTTCTCATGTTTGTTTCAGATGCAGGAAAATTGGTGATTGAACCCTTCAAAGAACAAAAACACTATGATCATTTGAAACAGCTCACCTGTGCAGACTTCAGGAAATCGTGTGCTTTTCGAAGAGTTGGCCCGTACTCGTGACTCAGGTTACTCGACATGATTGCCTGTATCGCGAAAGCTGCATCCCAAGTCTGACAGCCAAATGTCTGCATCTTGAGCCCATCTTCAGCAACCCAGTAGTAATCTGGGAGCCTAGCCAAGTGTTTCTTACAGGCATCTGAATTGGGATCTTCCACCCAACAAGCCATTAGACACAGAACCTTTTCAACACTTCCAATGCAGAGGTACTTGCTGTTCTCATCCTCGTAGTGTATGTGTTCCATGGCTAACCTCAGTGCCTTGTCCCTCAGCTTAGAGAATGGCCAACGTGTTAATAATGGCTCCATGAAATGGTGGATGAATCCCCATGTCAGGTCTTGTACAAGAGGATGTGGGTAATAGAGATCCTCCTGAATTCAGAAAATCACAGACATACACAAATTTCAACAATGAACCTTTAGGGTTGTATGCATGCATAATATACTCATAATTAGTTTGGTTTCTTGTTTTTGTAATTTATACCTTTGCAACTGTATTCCTTGCTGCATTCCAGTTGATCTGATGATACGGCTCATTGTAGAGCTCTTCCCTTAAACTCTGGATTAGTTCGGTGATCGGACCAACGAATCTCTTGCCATAAAGATAAGACATCGGCACGTAAACCAGACGACTATAACACAACATCTTACCTGAATGAAAATAAGATATACTATTTGGCCCAATAATGACAACATATTTGAATACAAAGAATTTGCATCCTCTTATACTTAGAATATGCACCTGCATGAATAGGGGAGCTTAAGGGCAAAAGCAAAATCTCCGGGGGAGAAGGGTTGCAACCTGACCATTCGTATAGCCCAAGAACCTTTATCATTTGTGCATGCAACAACGAGAAAGAAACTCGGTCACTAAATCAAATAAATACGACTCTATATAAGATTGAGAAAGGACTTTGCGTGCCACTACAAGAGCAACCCAGTTCGCAGAGTTCTAAGAACTGCTCTAAACTCTAAAAGTTGGACCTAGAACTGACGCTGATTAAGGACAATCTCGATGAACAATATCGTCAATCACATTCGAGTTTGAACCGTGTCACACCTAATTAAGATATGCAGATTATACAAGACTTGGGATGCAAGTTATTTACTTACAGAGACCCAAAACTTTCCCCAGTAAGGTATCCTGACAAGGCCGCCATGATCAAGTATCCATTTCCGACCTCTGAAAACAGCCATGTCTTCCCCATCTTCTGGACCCTCACCAAGGAGTCTCAGGCATATGTAGCTCAATGCCGATCCAAACATGGTGCTGTGGCCTTCTATGTGCAGTCCCCACCCGCCGTCCTCATTCTACGTAACGATTAGCGACAGAGCAAAGTGTTTTGGAGCGTGTCAGGTAGTGTTCGCTAAACTATATCGTATCAGTACGGTTCGGCCAGAAAAAAATAGCTATCGAAAACACAAAGTTTCTACCGGTGACGTGCCTGATGATTGTAGATGTAACGCTTGATTTCCTTTTGGTGTTCAGATGATAAGACAGAGTTGAGTGATCCAATTATGTACAATGCAAATACCTGCACAATTTATGGTTGTCCACAATGCAACTCTACAAATAATTAGAAAGAAAAAAAAAAAAAGAAGGACAAATACATGTTCTTGAAACTCTAGACGAGACTACGGTGTCGTATCAATTCACCAATGGGGGCATGAAAAACAGAGGCCCAGCAGATTCAGCGGGCCAGTGCCCATCATGGGCCTGAATCGATGAGTAAAAGCTAATGGCCCGTCTCAGTGTGGTTGAAATCGCTTCTTCCGTTATCTCCTCACTTCCGTTCAGTTTCACGGCGGCGGGAATCGCCCCTACGGAGTTCTCTTTGGTAAGCTGTTGGATTTGGATATGAAAAAAAAAAACAGAATCAATTAAGCTGTAAAATACTACGGCAGACTCATTGTTGAAAAAAGGTAGCGGTGGATCGCTTCTCTCGTTACAAGAAGATAGGTATGTTATTTATCGATTATATTTTGAAGGTGGTTGACGATCTTTTCAAGTCACGTTAATTTGAAAGTCATTATAAGTAAACTTTTAGTATCAAGAAAGTGATCAATGCATCTCTTTTTTGTTTCTAAGAAACAACGATTAGGATGATTCACAATTTGGTTACTGAATATTTTCAGCTGTAAGTAAAAGTGTTTATATAGAGTACAATGACTGATCTCCGTACATCATTCTAATATAATTAGTAATTAAATTAGTTTTAAAGAGCTAACATATAATTTCTCAATACTTTAGTGGATTCCTTTACGTTTGATATTGTGATTGTGTTTATGATAATTAAAGATAAAAAGCACAATTCCTCAATACTTTTTATTAATATTACATGTATCTCTTCTTGTAAAAATCACTTCTTATATAATAAAACTGAAAAAGATAGTAATCTCAACTAAACAATTCCAAAGTAAAAAAAACAAATAATGATTTCTATCACACAATACATATATTATATGGTCGACAATAATAAAATAAATACAAATATACTATAAAGAAAACAGGCAGTGGCGGATCCAGGGGTGGCCACCCCGGGCCACGGCCCAGCCCTCCTCTAAATCCGGAGCTAGTATAGCCCTTATGAGTTTATCGATTTTAGCCATTCGGCCCAGTGTTATTTTATAATAAGATTGTGTGTAATTAGGAAAATGGGTTAGATGAACATATTCAAATCACAACTCTAAATTTAGCATGAAAATTCTAGCTCCAATGATTCCCATCTAAAGAAAAACAAACAATGAAACCTAAAATTCTAAAACGTAAAAGGCTAAAAGAAATATGAGGTTTGTTCGCTTAAGAAATTACTAGAGCAGCTGGTGAAAATAAGAATTGATACACAATATATATTGATTAGTCAATTGATTTGTTTAGTGTTGACATTGCTCGTTTCAACAACTACAATGGAGAGAACCTTTGCAACAATGAAATAGGTGAAAAATTATTTGTGCAACAAAATGAGCTATGAATTTCTCGCCAATTGGTTAACTATTTTATCTTAAAGAGAGTATGCTATTGGTATGGATGTAAACTCCATTATTGATGAATTCACTATATTAAAATTTAAAAGATCGACGTGTACAATTGATATTGTAAAAAAAATATGTTTTTTTTTAAATATATCTAATTTTCTAATGAAATGCGATCTAGTGCTCTATTGTGTCCTGGATCCGCCGCTGAAACCAAGTATCGTAACAATATCACTAAAACAAACCAAGAAAACAAACCACCCCTAGACTATATACCTGCATCCTCATGAGTAGATCAGCACTCTGCTTGGCCTTGAACCGATTCTCCTTGAATTCCCGGCGAGTCTTCTCAACGGCGGCCTTCTCTTCCGGCGTGCCGGCGGTTGGGTCGAACACCCACTCTTGCCGTCCGACGTTGCCGTTGCCGCTGCTCACCCACTCCCCGTCTCCCGCTATCTTCAGCTTCCACATTGTTATATCTGAAATCTGATCGATCTCTTCTTCTTCTTCTCCTTCTTTCTGTGGTGCTGTTAAGTACTTACTTCCATATATCTTTCAAAATGGTGGTGCAAATATATATATGTATATATAGTCGTCAGACCTGCTAAACGAATCATAGGATGGATGGCCACGTATACATGTGAACATTATTAAGGAATTAAATAGACGGCGAAAAGAAATGGCATCGAGGGGTTTCTTGACTCAATACGAATTCAAAGGAATCGGATCGCACCGGATCGAGTATAATGCGGTTTACATGGATGTTACAATTATTGAAGAAATGATGGATCGATCGAGCTGATATTTGTATCAGATCGAATCGGACCAAGTTAACTGAACGCAATGATGATCCGGTACTTAGTCCTAAGATGTCTTTGTCACTAATGAA